AACTAGCTAATTTCAATTAATATAATTCATATGCACAAAATCTTGAGAATTATTACAATTCTTTTAGAATTTTATACATTTTCATATCTTCATATTTCTTTTATTTATCATTTTTCTTTTACAGGACCCCAAGGAAAACAGTGATATACACTGATGGGCTATATCCTGTTATAAATATTCGCCTGAGGAATCCAGTAGCAAGTGTGATCACAGCTGAAGAACTWAATAAAGCTGAAACGGTTATCCTAAAGATAGTACAAGAAAATGCTTTCCAAGAGCAGCTTTGAGAAGTCTGAATCTGAATCAGAAGAATGATAGTCAAAACTCAAGAAGAAAAAGGCAGAAATCAAGAAATTAAGTTCGTTATATCGTTTGAACCCATTCTTGGATACCGAAGGATTGATGCATGTAGGTGGAAGACTGACAAAGTCGCCATATCTTGCCCATGATCAGAAACATCGATAATCCTGCCCAAGAAAGGACACATTACCGAAATGATAATTCGCCATGCACATCTTAAACGTTACACACAATGGAAGAGGAATCACACTCAATGACATTAGAAAMCGGTACTGGATTATTAATGGATTATTATTTCCACGGTCAAATGGCTCATATCCAGATGCGTAATATGTAGACGTTTTGCGCACCACTGTAGGAGAACATGTTGAGAATAGTTAACTTCGATACATTTTATTCGTTTTGTTTGTTTCTTACGATTTCCTTGACCCCATGATTTACCAGAAATTAATGATTAAACATAGCAATGAAACTTGATCTAGCCTTATGCAATAAAGGACACTCCCTTGWTTCTTGATGAACCGATATGCATGTGCTTACGAGCCAAAGACAATTTTGCTATAAAAGACTGATTTARATGCGTGATTCGCCACCAGATGTAAGTACAATTAATTCTGAATATAGATACTGTTTAAGCGTAAATAATTTCCCCACAAATGTAGASTAATTTAGGAATTATTGTTACATTTTAGCGAACCTTGTATTAGCTTGTACTAGTTTGTACTTGATCCACGATTAAACTCGAAACAGACACGTGAACATTTGCCAACTATTTAACTCYAACAAGCGTATCGTATGGTGGTGAAATAGACATTCCCGGATATCTCTTACAGAACAGAAGATGACTGATTTACCTAATGCTATAATGACCATGTAACCCCAGCACCATGCACCATTTACAWTTTGTGCTGTTGATTATTTTGGACCCTGTACAATCAAAGGAAGAAAAGAACTGAAGCGATATGACGTTTTTGTTTACATGTTTGGCTAGCAGAGCAACACATCTAGAATCAGCTAATTCCCTTGAAACAGATGCTTTTCTGAATACCCTAAGAAGCTCTAATGCGACTAGTGGGAGCTGTAAGAGAAAGAAGAAAGAAGCTTTAATGGAGATGAAATAAGAAAGATTCAGAGAATATCTAATTCGAAACGCAGAAGCCGATTGTCGTGATCATTTATGACACACCAAATACACTGGAATAAAAAAAGCAAGTTGCATCCTTGCTAAACACTGAATCTAATGAAATTACATTGCAAGTGCAGCCAGTAACCCAGCAAAGTAATGGCTTTGACTGTGGGGTATTTGCAATTACATTTGCAGTTGCTTTATGAAATTGTCCTTCAGCCTTAAACTTTAGACGCAGAGACATTTTGGGGCTACGTTAAAAAGGTTTTAGATTCAGGAAAACTTTAACATCTATCATTCCAACCAAAGTTTTTCACCTTCGAAGCTGGATACCCACTCTATCTGATCACGAAATTCCATTAAATCTTGATCGTCCAAATTTCACGCGTGATTCGAAAAATGAAAGCTTCTGRCTCTCCTTGTCTTCTAGACCAACTTTCAATTATCTGTTTCAAAAATGTCCCTATCTTCGTACTTATTTRGCTGAAATTATCTGTGCAGATCTGTCCCTACTGAATGGAAAAGAGCTTGTACCATTCTCATACATAAAAAAGGAACTACGGYCGACCCTGCGAACTTTCGTCCCATCACATTGCAATCTGTTTCCTTAAAAGTATCCACTTCATGTCTTCGTAACTCAGTTTCTTCTCAAGTTCCTTACTGCTTATCTGTGCACGAGATTAAGCTGTACTGTATAAGGGTTGCGTCCAAAAACTGTTTTATATTCCATGCTGTGTATCATATCACCCCTCAATTCAAGTCGTGTGAATCTGAGAGAAATGGATACTTCTCCCCCAAGCACTTTTTGCTATGGCTGCCAAGTCACTACCAGTGGCCTTGAATTTAAGTAACTTGCCAATACGGTTGATTACCTCTTATATAAAGCCTTTGCTGTGACTTCCTACCAATCAGTGACTCATAGAAGCATAAAGCACTTGCACCATGTACTAAAGACATTTCCATCTCTGAAATTTTATGTGGATAAATAAAATATTTAAGCAAAGTTAGACTTGAGCTAAGTTGCCTGTTATCGCAAGTATCTGTCATCAAGAGGCTATAGCTTCGCGGCCATSTGATAAGCAAATTAAYGTCTCACGTAATGAGATGAATGATGAATAGATGGTATCTGGGGACGAAGCTTGCATCGGGTGCTATCCAATTTCGCTAACGCCACGTGCTATCCGATTTCGCTAACGCTATGCGCTATCTCATWTCGCTAACGCTAGCTTACGCAGTTTGTACGCTACACCAACGCTATTTGTTTTTACGCTATACTCTCGTTAYGTCTCGGGCTACACGAARTAGCACGGCCGTACTCTCTGCAGAAGACCRGCAGGAGATTATCCGGGTTTTGGAGGCATCCTCTGCAAATGGGTCAGGAAACTCGTCCTCCTCGCCACCTTATTCTTCACAGCCTGCACTGCCACCTTCTTCCACCTCCGCAGTGGTTTCTGCTACGCAGGACGCTACAGGTACGTCTATTTTACCTGTACCTTCATTCGCCAGCACTTTTACGCTAGCATCGCAGTCATTGGCTGACACGAGCGCTWCGCTAGCTTTCTCAGCATCTGTGCCGAGCTCCGTCTCGTCGGTTTGGGYGCCGTCATTGCCATCTGTTTCGGCGGTCTTGCATCAGCCTTTTCTCGTTGGCCCAGGTTGCTCTCCCGTTCCCRCAAAGCTGGTTACCCAGATCGTCAGTGGCAAGTTCGTCGACATGAGCGATCTCATTTCTCCTAACCTGGTGGAGACGGAAAACGAGCCCCAACTCTTCTTTAATGGTCGCATCGTTTTGACCTCTACGCCCAAGCGCCAGCGGCGAAAGGTAGAGGACATAATGACGTGGATCGAGGCGTTCAGCATTTACTCGCTCGTGCTGACTTCTTATTTTCCCAATCGCTGGAAAGATCTTTTGCTCTACAAGCTGCTTATTCTGCGAACCTATYGCCAGTTTAGCGGCCGGGCTTGGCTGGCTTACGATAAGGCTTTTCGTGAGCACGCAGCAGCAAGCAAACTCACAGACTGGTCGCACATCAATAGCCACCTCTACAGTTTCCACACCGCGGGATCTGTCCCACGCGCTCTCAGTGTTACTTGCATGGCTACTTTTTGTGTCATGGACTTCGAAAAGAAATCGTTGTTTTACTTCGATCCGCCAGCTTCGGATATGGGGCTCAAAGAGAAAATACGCGCAATAAAGTAAGATGTTTACTAACCGACCTTTACTTGCGTAAATGGATGCTTGAATATCAAACAATATTCTCCTTGTTCCTATGAATATGAAATATGTTTCTTTTYGTCCATAAGGCAGACAGATTCTTAGCAGAGCGTTAGAAATATCTGTCRCTGAAGTGGAAAATTGGAAAGTGTATGTAATCAAGGTAAACGAATAAAGCCTCTTATGACATCACACTCATTAACATATTAAACCTTTAAGTATGTAAGAGTTAATTACCGAGAACGGAGGCAATAAGCTATATACATCCCGAGGGCCGCTGGCCCGAGGGATGTATATGCTTATTGCCGACGTTCKAGGTAATTAAGTATTTTATATCCCCCCAAAATAACAATATTTTATCATTCAGCTATTCCCTTCATGTATAATCAATACTAAAGATATTGAATTAAGTTTAACTTCGAGTGATATGTTAGTTTGAATTTTTTTTTGTAAATAAATGCAKAACGCTCCGTGCAAACGTTCAAAATCAGAAAATGGCTGACCTGCCATACGCGGTCGCCTACAGGATTCCGTCACCCCATTCACGTACAGCGGAGTGGACAACTTTGGTCCTTGGCTTGTCAAAGAAGGACGTAAAGAACTCAAGAGATACGGAGTCCTCTTCACATGCAGCTGCTTAATTGCAGCATCAACTATTGCATATAAACTAAAAATATTAACATTCTATGAAACAACAAGAATCAGTTAAAGACAAGGAAATACAATGATGGAGTGCCTACCCAAGCCGAAGTGACAGCGACTTCCAAAGACACTATAGCAGAGGTTATACCCAAGACGGCGTAGAAGTGACTTCTTAAGAAAGAGAGGGATTGCTTCTTAAGACAAAGGAAAAGAGCGAAGGGGAAATCGAACAAGGTAGTCGATTTTAAAAAGAGAATGAGTTAGTACTACGTTTTATTTTTACTATATATATAATTTTAACGATATTTTAATATTTTTCATTTTTTTATACGAACAGAAATACAGGAATTGGACAACCAAACAAGGGATTTCATAAAGGGRAAAATCGCGTTAGTTAGTACTACCCGATATATTATTTATATATTTTTTATATTTTTAAAAGCCGGGTAGAGGGCGAAAGATTACGCACGTCACTCTCGTTATCAAGAAACCATTTCAGGAGCCTTGTAGAAATGGAATTCTGGATGCTTCAGTYCCATTTTGGRTCCAGTAAAATCCTAGCGTTCCAGATRGAGCTACTAGGAATGTTTCAAGAGAACATTCCAAAAAGCGAACTGTCCTTTGTAGAAGGATTAAGCGGGGGCCGGAGAACGCGTTTGTGTGCGTTTCCAAATAGGTTCGGTTATAAATCAGCATCTGAACTAATTTGTGTCATTCTATAAAGTAACAAGAATCAGTTAAAGACAAAGAAATGCAATGTGGGAGTGRATATCCAAGCTGAAGTGACAGCGACTTCCAAAGACACTATAGCAGAGGTATGACCCAAGACGGCGTAGAAGTGACCACTAAARAGAGAGTGGGATTGCTTCTTAAGACAAAGGAAAAGAGCGAAGGGRAAATCCAAGAAGGTAATCGATTTAARAAAGCGAAGGCGATCGCGTTAGTACTACCCCATAAATTAATTTTATATCTTTTATATTTTTATACGAACAGAACTACAGGAATTGGACAGCTAAACAAGGGATTTCATAAAGGGAAAAATCCCCTAAGGTCACTTTTGTCCCTTGCCAAAGACAAAAGCCGGGTAGAGGGATGAAGAAATGTACAGGCCCGCAAATGATCCCAGGACTGCAAATGATCCCGGGACCGCAAATGATCCCCGAATAGGACCGCAAATGATCTCGGAGCGCAAATGATAAGCTATGATCATAAATTATTGCGCGATCATTTGCGATCCAGTATCGGGATCACTTGCGGTCTGGGATCATTTGCGGTCCTATTCAGGGATCATTTGCGGTCCCGGGATCATTTGCGGTCCTGGGATCATTTGCGGGCCTGTACAGAAACCATTTCAGGGGCCTCGTAGAAATGGAATTCTGGATGCTTCAGTCCCATTTTGGATCCAGTAAAATCCTAGCGTTCCAGATGGAGCTACTATAAAAGTTTCAGGAGGACATCCCAAAAAGCGAACTGTCCTTTATAGAAGGTTAAAGCGGGGACCGGACAACGCGTTTGTGTGCGTTTCCAAATAAGTTCGGCACTAAATCAGCACCTGAACTAAGTACGGAGGCTTTTTAGTGCCATGGCACTCACTTTTTTCTGGCAACCGTTTGGCCGCGTTCACTTTTTCAGAGTGGCGGCGTTCACTTTTTTAAAGTGACCGAGTTCACTTTTTCAGACACCTGGCTGCGTTTTTTGGGCTTCCTGTGGCTTGTTATCGCGGGCTCACTTTACATTCTCACGGCYCGAGCTCGATCATTAGTCATGGAGGATAAGAGCTCTATTGAGAAGGTATGTATTTTATTTCTTGTTTCGGCGAGGTTTTTCCTTCTTTTTGGTTCTGATCACACTGACGAATYTGTTATAGAAGGCATAACAAAGAAGATTTTGAAAGAATCGGGAATTCACGGTGTTATAATCAATAACAAAATTGCAAATGGGCCACTAGTTGATCAGTTATCTTTATGTACTGTTAAGTGTTACCCTGTCTAAATAAAGATTATTGTATTGTATTGTATTGTAAACGTATTCAAGAAAAAGATTTACCTTCTCACTTCAGTATTTAAGAAAGCTATAGGGGACAGTGTATAAAAAAGCTGACTGATACCTGGAAAAAACCAGGGCCTATTTCAAATTTAAAGTTTCWTTCCAAAGCTATTGAAAAGGTTGTTGCTACCCAGTTAATAGATCATTTAGAGCAAAATAAACTTCATGAGACATTCCAATCTGCTTATAAGAAATTTCATAGTGTTGAGACTGCACTTTTAAGGGTTCATAATGACATTCTCCAAGCTTTAGACAATCGATGTGCAGTGATCTTGGTTTTACTTGATCTATCAGCAGCTTTTGACACTGTTGATCATGGTATCCTGCTTGAGAGGCTCTTTTATAGGTATGGCATTAATGGAACAGCTCTTCAGTGGTTTAGATCCTATCTTGGTGATAGATCTCTTTTCGGGTCAAGGTCCAAGGTAGTGCATCTTCAGATCATCCTCTTCAATGTGGTGTCCCATAAGGATCTATCCTAGGCCCATCCTATTTCTATTGTATACCTCACCTATTGGTGATATAATGAGGAATAATAATATCAATTTCCATTTATATGCTGATGATACACAGCTGTATCTTACCTTTTCTATGTCATCCAATAAGGAATTTGAGGATGCGAAACAGCAAATTGAAACCTGTGTATCAGAAATTGATAAATGGATGGCCTTTAACAAACTAAAATTAAATAACGACAAAACTGAAATTCTTGTTTTTGCTAATCCACACCGTCCTCGACCACCTGTTGATTTTATTAACATTTCTGGCTCTGACATTTCTCCATCACCATCTGCTCGTAACATTGGAGTTATTTTTGATGAAGTGCTGTCTCTTGACGMCCATATACTTACTGTCTGCAAAACTTGTTTCTTCCATATCCATTATCTTYGGAAAATTCGAAAGTACTTGAGCTATAAAGCTTGTGTAACTCTGGTTCATGCCTTCATTTCTTCAAAACTTGATTTTTGTAATGCATTATTATATGGACTTCCCAAARGCTCTCTGCAAAAGCTTCAGCATGTCCAAAATGCTGCAGCAAGACTAATAACGTTTTCTCGAAAACAAGATCACATCACTCCTATCTTGTGCAATCTACACTGKCTACCTGTGGAACAGCGCATAGTTTTCAAGATTCTCTTACTTACATTTAAGGTCTTGCATAATCTAGCACCTGCATATCTTGTTGACTTGATTAAACCTTATGCTCCTTCTCGCTGCTTAAGATCATCTTCCTTAAATCTTCTAACTAAG